GGGTTCCTACATTTTAAATGTAGTACTTTTTAATTTGGGGGTTAAAGAAAATCACTTCTGCTTGTTCAGATATAAATTTATTATAATCTATCTAAAGGTTAATTAATCTCATACACATTTTCAAAACAAATTTCTTGTCACAAAAAGTATCGAATCAGAAACTCAAATAAAAATCGATTAAGAGCAAAGAACCTTGATATTAATATTAAAAGATCAGGAAACATTTTTATGATCATTTGCAACATGTTTTTTTTCCCCCACAATGTTTACATTTGATCACTGCAGCACTTTAAGAGAATGAAAATGTCATGAAACACTCTTTATACAAAACGACAATAAATGCTGTTTAAGTCTAAGTCTGAGTCTAAGTCTAAGCATTACCCCAAAGAATATTTTTCCATCTCTGTTCTCATAATAATTTAATTTTATTGATCTCTGGAGAAATTCTCTCCCTGCATTTAACCCCTCCCCTTGGGAAGCAGTGGGCTGCCATAGTGCGGCGCCCAGGGAGCAGGGGGGGGGGTTAAGGGTCTTGCTCAGGGACCCAGTGGAGGCAGTGGGGATGGAACCGGCAACCTGGAACCTTCTCAGAGCCCTGCTCTAACCCACTAGGCCACCACTCTTCATTCTCAGGTCATAGTTTGCAGCAGTGCTGTGATTTAAATTAACTATTTTATTAATTAAATAATTTTAACTTGTGTTAAAACGAGAGAATTAAATGAAAATAACATAGAATTAGAATTCGATCTAAAACATAAACTCCCTTGTTGTGTGAGATGGAATATTAGCCGCCTTCCTGCAGATTTCCAAAATTCACACTTTGAAAGATAAAAAATAAAAATAAAAAATGATATAAAGATTTTTTTTATAAATCTAAACATCTTAGCAAAAGCAAAACTTTGTCAATATATTCAAAATTTGAAGTAATTTATTTCCAAAAGTGACTCAACTTCACCAGTTTGGGAAATAGATTAATTAATGGATCTTCGACATCAGGACCTCTAGAAAAAATAAAGTAAAATAGATCCTAGATAGATAGATAGATAGA